GGACATGATATCCTGTTTACAAACACCATTAGAACAAATCATTCTATTCATTAAGAGAATGTAACTATATATTTATCCTAACCACTTTGAATGTACAGATACAAAATGGACATTCATCTGTATACTGTTTTTTGTTAAGTTCCAGTTATTTGAATATTATAGGTGTGTCAAGAGGTTTTTTTGTATCAGCATATATAGATACTATTGATGGATTGACAGGTATGTTTAATTGCGTCAGTTGGCTGTAGCCTGCTTTACTGACTGGTTCTCCTAGTAATGGGTATTTTGGTTTTCTGAGCTTTACAATAAATATATCTTCATTTGTTTGTAGAAATACACTGAGATAAATTCTTAGTAGTGAAATTTCTGAATTAGGTTGGGTTCGAGTCCCTGGTTCTTTCCATTTCATGAGAGCTACTCACCCCCACTCCTGGTTGGTGAGCTCAGCCTTGCCCTCGGAGACTGAGGAGGTGTGGGCTCTGCAGACATAGGAAAGAATTACAGCTGCTGGGCTGTCCTCAGAAGTGACAGATGGCGAGCCATACAGTACGTTTTACCTTTTGAGAGCTGTTGCCAAATTGCCCTCCAAAAAGATGGCACCAGCTTACTTTATGTTCAGAGAACATGAGGATGCCTTTCTCATGCTGCCTTACCAGCACTGGGTATTTTTGCCAGTCTGATGAGGGAAAAATAGGAAGTTGTCCTGATGCTGAGGTGAGAATCCCTGCCTGTAAAGTTGCTGGGGTCAGCGGAAGGTTGAGCAAGAGCAGTGCTGTGTGGGGCAAGGGTTCCAGGCAGGGGCACCAGCAAAAGCAAAACTAGAAGGGATGAAGACTGGTGTATGGTGGAAGAGTAGAGCTGAGGCCAGACAGGGAGCTCAGCTGCAGGCTGAGCTGTTGTAATTTTGTTCTGGGGCTTTCTAGCTAGTTTTGGGCCCGGCAATGTTAGGATGAGATTTGACTTGCTTGCCAGCTTGCCTGCCAGCTTGCCTGCACCTCCCTCCCTCCCTTTCTCTGTCTGTCTCTTTCTCTTTCTTTCATATCTTTTTAACCCAAGTCCCTTATAGAGAGGAGCATTTTATAGTGAATGGAAAGTATGGTTTATATTGCCCTCTTGTAGTTTCTTTTAGCTTTGGTTCACTGTGGTAGTAGCTGTGCAGGGCTGCATTGGCCTGGAGGAGGCTGAGATAGGAAGGTAGGTCACATCCTGGCCACAGTTGTTGAGGGATGGTCCTTTTCATTACAGAGAGTGTTCCCAACCAGCCAACCCATAGGCTGGGTCCTGGGTCCCCAGCAGCGGTTTTCTGCTTCCTGAGTGCCAGCTTTCTGATGGCGCTTGGCTTCAGTGTTTCAGTAATTCCACCACCTG